AGCTACAATAATAAATACATTTTATGTCATGATCCAGGAGGAAATATACGTGTTTATATATATAAACGTGTATTTATATACCTATGCATATACATGTAGTATTTTTGTTTGCTTGTTTGTTTGTTTTCGGCTGCGTTGGGTCTTCATTGCTGTGCGTGGGCTTCCTTTAGTTGCGGCGAGCAGGGGCTACTCTTCATTGCGGTGCACAGGCTTCTCATTGCCATGGCTTCTCTTGTTGCATAGCACGGGCTCTAGGTGTGCGGGCTTCAGTAGTTATGGCATGCAGGCTCAGTAATTGTGGCTCGTGGGCTCTAGAGCGCAGACTCATTAGTAGTGGTGCACGGGCTTAGCTGCTCCGTGACATGTGGGATCTTCCCGGACCAGGACTCGAACCCATGTCCCCAGCAATGGCAGGTGGATTCGTAACCACTGTGCCACCAGGGAAGTCCCTACATGTAGTTTTTAATAAAACTAAAACAAAACTTCACAAAATAAGACTATATGGAGTGCTAATATCTGGGATTTTTTTTCTAGTTCATTCTCTATTATTTTTCCAAATGTTTATTGTGATACACTAATTTGATTTTAATGAATGAATGTCAACTTGCAGTTTGAGAACTATTAGTGTAGTTGATTTCATCTTCCCACCCCATCCCCGCCCCCACCTCCATCTTCTGTCATTATTTATTGAATGCTTCACCCTGGGGGAGGAGTAAGGAGTTCTATTTGGGGGGATGCAGCAGGGTAGAGAGAGATGGAGTACAGATGGATCATGGAGGAAACAGTGTTCTCTGTATTCCCCTTTCAACCCCTCGGATTTGGGTTTGAGCTCCTATAAGTAGAATGGAGTATTTGAAATTAACTAGAGAAACCTTATAAAACTTCAGGCACAAGGAAGGCTGCTTCAGGGTCTAGATCAGGAATCTGTACACTACAACCTTTGGGCCAAATCAACCTGTTCACCTGTTTTTGTAAATAAGTTTTATTGGAATAGAAACACACACATTAATTTGCATATTGTCTAGGGCTGCTTTCCCTGTAACTGCAGGCTTGAATAGATCAAGATTCTATGATCGGGACTTCCCTGGTGGTCCAGTGGTAAAGAATCTGCCTTCTAATGCAGGGGACTTGGGTTCGATCCCTGGTCAGGGAACTAAGATCTCACATGCCACGTGGCAACTAAGCCCATGCACCACAGCTATTGAGCTCCATGCCTCAATGAGAGAGCCCACGTGTCGCAAACTACAGAGCCCACACGCTCTGGAGCCCATGCACCACAACTAGAAAAGAGACAACCCACACGCCACAACTAGAGAGACGCCCGTGTGCCACCACAAAAGGTCCTGCATGCCACATCTAAGACCCAACGCAGCCAAAAAAATAAAGACAATAAATTTTAAAAATAAATAAATATATTTTTAAAAAAGATCCTATGACCTACAAAGTCAAAAATATTTACCATCTGGTCCTTTTGTAGGAAACGTTTGCTGACCCCTGGTGTGGATGGAAAGTGTTTTCTCCTTCTCCTGGAGGAAACTGGCATGGCTCTGAGACATCCAAGGCAGAATCCTGGGCATGGGGAGTATCCTTCCCAAGACAGGCCACATCATTCTTCCCCCAGCATTTGCCGGCTGTGGACGTGGACCACCAGCAGCACAGCCTGAGCAGGAAAAGCTGAACAGGGTGGATTCCGAGTGGGGACCACTGCTGCAGGCTGCAGTACTGCCTTTGGAAGTACTGGGAAGCACTAGATATATCACTGTGACTGCAGAGATGAGGACCTGAAAGCCAGCTGACACAGGGCTTCATCTGCATTCTCAGTGCCTGGAGTAGGAAAGGTACTTGGAGGGTGCTAAACAAATGTTTGCTGAATATTTCTTAAATGAGAAAGGAATTGGTGGCATGCAGTGTAGAAACTGAGCTTTATCACAACCCCGCTGGAAGACAATGCCAGTAGTAAAGAGCCTGGATGCCTGCAGCCCAGAACTGCAATCCTCTCTCTTAGTTAGAGCTCAAGATATCTCTTCTCAGCTGCTTTGGCAACTAATATCAAAGATAATAATATTAGAGCTAACAATAAATAAATATTGTGTGCTTATCAAGTGCCAAGCATTTATTCTAGGTCCTTTATATGTAGCAATTCATTTGTATTCTTTTGATAGGAAATTCTATTTTAATCTCATTTTACAAATAAGGAGGCAGACACAGAGAGGTTATGTAACTTGCCCAAGGAGAAACAGCTAGTAAGTAGCAGAGCCAGATTTTGAAAATGGGATGATCTTTGCAGAAAAAAAAATTGGATGCTGAGATTATCAGAGCTGCTGGCTTGTTTGCTGAATCCAGTGAGTTTTCTTTTTTCTTTTTGCTGTCACCTAAGAATGTATTGACTCATTTAACAAATCTTTAGTAGTGTGCCCTATGTCTTTTCTGTTTTGCCTGCAATTGGTCTAGAGGTGGGCATGTTAGTCTGGTCAGTAAGAGGTAGGAAGCCAGCTGGGGCTTCTGAAACAGATTTTCCCCCATGAAAACTCCACTCACAGGCACAGGCAGAGTAGAAAGATGGATATGACCGGGATGCCTGATCATGCTGTACAGCCACCACTTTCTCCTGCAAGTGCCTACGTCTGCGTTTCTTCTTTGTGAGATTAATAAACCCCTATTTTTTAAACCATTTTTTAGTCAGATGTTCCGTCAATCAGACAGTCTCCAGCCCATTATCCTGTTATAGTGCCTTCATAGCTCTGATCGCTATCAGAAAGTATCTCATTCATTGATTAGTTTCCTTATCTTCCTGTCCCCCCACTTCCTCTTCTAGAACATAAACTCCCAGAACAGGGTTCTAACCTCCGCTATTCACTGCTCTGTGCCCAGAGCCTAGACCATGTCTGGCCAAAGGGTTGGGGAATCCCAATATAATCCCAAGAGGCTCACAGTTCAGTGGGGAAACAAAAAGTGTTACCATAAATGTCATCTTAGAGGTAAAAATCACAGAAGACTAATCTGCTCAGGGACTGTGCCTTACAAAGCTGTTGTGGGCCATCTGGTCTCAGCTTCTTCCCCTGGCATCCAACCCCCCTCTTCCCCCCCACCAGCCAAAATTGCATAGGTCAAAGTAGAAAACCTATCGTTTGAAAGCTTGCTTTAAAAAGGAATTGCTGTTTTTAAAAGAGGTTGAAACCAGGAAATCCTGTTTTAAAAGTAGGCTTATGTTTTCCTTTGCTGTTATGCAAATGTAAGCAAGGGCCATTGCCTTGAGTGGGCTGCGGGGTAACCAAATGCAGACGTTTTCAGACGCTGTGACCTTCATTCTGGGTGGAGGTAGATGGCACAGTTTTGGGAGAGCCCAGTCTCCACAGACTTTGCTGCTTCCTTGGAGCCTGGGTGACTGGGGCTGGCTGCTGGGGCGCTAAGGGGGCTGCCTTCTGGGAACAGTTACTTGGAGAAAGGATGCGCAGGTCTGACCCTCCCCACCTGCTTACAGGAACAGAGCTGGACTTGGCCTTCTTGATGCAGCCTGGACTGGCCTGTTAGTGACCTTCAGGACAGAATCTCTAGACCTGGTAAACAGGTTAGAATGTTGTGATGTGAATGTCCTATGATAATTGAACAGTTGGAAATGTCTCGGAAATGGACCAATACTGTGTCATTTACAACCAAGTAAACAAAAATGTACTGGTGTTGGACTCTCCTGCCCTGATGTGATTGTCATTACATGTCGGGGGGAGTGGGGAGGAAGGACGCTCCCTTGTGAGAAGCAGAAATGTCCACTGTCAGTAATCCTAGGAAGAGAGAAATCTTGGGATGAGAAATGAAGACTAGAGAAAGGGGCCTCAGACCAGGGTGAAGAGGAAACTCCTTCTCTCTCTCTCGGGTAGGGGAAGGCAAACTGTTTTTTTATAAACATCCAAATAATAGATATTTTAGGCTTTTCAGGCTATACATACAGTTGCTCTCATAATTACTCAGTTCTACCATCACAGCAGGAAAACAACCACAGACAGTACACAAATGAATGGCCATGGCTGTGTTCCAATAAAACTTTACAAAATGGGCAGCAGGCTGGATTTGGCTCCTGGGTCGTAGTTTGTCAACTTCTGTTTTAGAGCCTCGGGGTGACGGGCATAGGACCCAGAAAGGGTGGTCGTGCCATATGGAGGTATGCTAAGTAGATGAGTAGATGCTTGGCCAACAGTTATGCCAACAGGCTACCTTCCAGGACCCTCTACAGATGCGGGCTCTGAGATACTTGTTTCTTTCTTTCTTTTTTTCTTTTTTGGCCACACAGCGTGCCTTGCGGGATCTTAGTTCCCTGACCAGGGATTGAATCCAGGCCCTCAGCAGTGAAAGCATGGCGTCCTCACCACTGGACCACCAGGGAATTCCCAAAGATACTGGTTTCTAATAGCACCTGTAAGACAGGGTCTCTTTTCTCTCTTGCTAACTCGTAAACTTCTCTTCAGGTATAAAAGTCACAGCCTTGGCTCAGGTGTGTTGAGGGAAGTAAAAGAAAGGCCTACCCCATTCTTGAGACCAAGAGGCAAAAGTGACAGCTGTTCTCTGACCCTGGGTGGTGGTAGCACCAGTAGACCCCAGAGGAGGACACGGTTCCCAGAGAAGGCAAGAAGTGAAGAACAGGGGAAGCCTGTTCCTGGGAGAGAAGAAGGCATCAGGGCCTCCAGGAAATGAGGAGTGAATAACTGCAGACACTTCTCTGTAGGCATGTGTGGGCTTAAGCCATCATAACTGGGATATTCAAGGAAAATGAGGTATTCTTTTGTAATCATAGGCAGTGAAGACTAGACATGCCCATTTGTCATGTTGGAGTCCTCATAACACCAGCACACATGGGGAGCACAGAGTAGGTGGTCAACCAATGGTTCCTAGGCAGACTGACCACTCCAACCCTGCCCTAGATGAACCATTGGGCCCCAGCCATTAGCCTCTACTCAGAACAATGACCATGGCAGTTAGAACCAAGGATTGAAGTCAACTGGGTAAGCCAGAGGAATTGCTTTAATGGCGATCCCAAGGTATCATACAGATGTGCTCAGCTTCCGCCCCACCAGGGAGAAAAGCCCTTCATTGCTGGCCATGTTGGAAGAGTAACTTTGGGAAATCACTTCAAACTGTTCAATGGTGTAGCCGGCCTCCCTCACGGCAGCCTCCACTGCCTCCCGGCCCAGGCAGAGGCTGGAGAACCTCTGCTCGCCGATCATGTAGTAGCTGCTCTTCAGAGCGTCCACGAGCACCAGGAAGCCCCCCGGCTTCAGCAGGCTGCCGAGGTTCCTGAGGGCCGCGCGGTAGGCAGGGAGGTCCGGGCAGGCGGCGTCCAGGCACAGCGTGCTGAGCAGGCAGTCGGCCGGGGGCAGTGGGACAGCCCCCAGAGGCCAGCTCTGAGTCACGTCACACTTCAGGACCTGCTTGATCGCCCGCCTCAACTTCTCCTCCTTCTCTGGCCCCTTGACTCTGAAACACACAAACCGACAAAGATCACTGGCTACCCCACTCGTGGGAACCCCAGATCTCTTAGGTCAGGAATGAAAATGGCAGTGTTGTCCCAAAGGGTATAACCTTAGGGCCATCCCTGTTGTAAAAACAGATAAAGAAGAAATGAGGGACCATTTTGGTATCTGAAGGTGACCATAGTACCTTGTGCTGGGTTAAATCTTTTTACAAAGTAAATAATAATATGGAAATGATAATAAAAATACCTAGTTGCCTGCTTCTACAGTGGACTGCCCCCATGAAATTCTTCTTCTACTGCTTAGAATAGTGCCTACATCATTTATTATTGTTGTTATTATTATTAGCCTTGTTCCCTCTACCAAACTGTAAGGTAGTGACTGTTTGGCCACATATATCAAGCAATAATGGTTTAAATGCAGAAATGGTATCTTTGTAGTAGCTACTGATGAATAGGAGGTCATCCATAGACATTCGTAGAAACGGTTGATCATGTCACACAGCTGTGGCCAGGGCCTTTCTGGAAAGATGAAAACTCCTTGTTTCCATTCTCAGGCTCCAAAAGATATTGCAGATAGGGAGGATGTTTCCTGATGGAGATAGTTTTCTTGGTAGCCTTGCTAGGAATCCTATCCTTTTCTGCCAAATCAATGGGTTTCTTGAGAGAAAATTCGTTAATGACAGGAGAAAAGGCAAGGGCAGGAGATGGAATCCAGTGCCTCAGATCCTTTTGGAATTTATCAGTGGAGGAATAAAGGAACAAACTAACCAATGAACAAAATTAAATAAACACGTAGAGTAAGCAAGAGAAACTGGAGAAAGGGAACAGACAAAGGAAAAGAAGTAGCAGAAAATCAGAGAGGTAAGACAAAGAGAGGAATCGCTGAGTGTACAAAGTGCCCAGAAGGCCACTGAGTCCAAATAGTATAAGTGATGATTGAGTATCCAACACTTTGAGGAAGTTAATCAACAAAGCACCAGGGTTGCAAATCCAGGCTTATGTGCAAGAAACACACAGTCGCTGGCTCCAGAGAAGACAGCCACTCAGGCAACGATGCTGGATAGAGAGAACGGAGGATGGCCCAACATCAGAGCAAATGAGAGAGATTTATACTGGGACCATTTCTGGTCATGAGGAAAAGTTGATGGTTTAAAGAAAACTTGGAGATTTACCTCCAGGTAGAATGATTTGAGATAACAGCAATTAGCTGTGGGCATCCTATTTAAATACTTAAAATCTAAAGCCTAGTGTGTATAATCAGTTATTTACAAACATCCTTTAATTGTGTTATAATTTTCCATTTAAGAAGCTTAATAAGCATAAGAAAAGATGCTCAATATCGCTGACATCAGAGAAATGAAAATCAAACCATGAGATACCACTTTGCACCAACTAGGATGATTATAATAAAAAAGACAGATAATAACTAAGTGTTGGCAAGGACATGGAGAAACTAGAACCTACATACACTGTTGGTGAGATGGTACAATGGTCCAGCTACTTTGGAAAACAGTCTGGAAGTTCCAAAAAAAAAAAAAAAAGGTTTAACATAGAGATTTAACATGACCCAGGAATTCTGTTGGTTTTTTTTTTAACATCTTTATTGGAGTATAATTGCTTTACAATGGTGTGTTAGTTTCTGCTTTATAACAAAGTGAATCAGCTATACATACACATATATCCCCAAATTTCCTCCCTCTTGCGTCTCCCTCCCACCCTCCCTATCCCATCCCTCTAGGTGGTCACAAAACACCGAGCTGATCTCCCTGTGCTATGCGGCTGCTTCCCACTAGCTATCTATTTTACATTTGGTAGTGTATATATGTCAATGTCACTCTCTCACTTCGTCCCAGCTTACCCTTCCCCCTCCCCGTGTCCTCAAGTCCATTCTCTATGTCTGTGTCTTTATTCCTGTCTTACTCCTAGGTTCTTCATAACCATTTTTTTTTAATTAGATTCCATATATATGTGTTAGCATACGGTATTTGTTTTTCTCTTTCTGACTTATTTCACTCTGTATGGCAGACTCTATGACCAGGAATTCTAATCATAGGATTATACCCAAGAGAAATGAAAACATGTGTCCACACAAAATCTTGTCCATAGTATTTATAGCAGCATTATTCATAATAGCCAAAAGATGGAAACAACCCAAATGTCCAACAAATTATGAATAGATAAATAAAATGTGGTCTATCCATACAATGGAATATTATTCAGTAATAAAGAGGAACGAACAACTGACACAGGCTACAACATGGAAGAACCTTGAAAACATGATGCTCAGTGACAGAAGCCAGACACAAAAGACCACAGATTGTACGATTCCATTTATATGAAATATCTAGAAAAGACAAATCTGTAGAGACTAAAAGCAGACCAGTAGTTGCTCGGGGCTGAGAGGATTGGGGAAAGGAGAATGATTGCTTATGGGTATAGGGTTTCTTTGGGGAGTTATGAGATGTTCTAAAATCGTGCTGAGGATCTCACAATTCTGTGAACATACTAAGGACTACTGAATGGCACCCTTTACGTGGGTGAATCGTATATGTGAATTTTATCTCAATAAAGCTGTTCTATTAAAAGAGAGAGAGAGAGGACTTGCCCGCTGGCGCAGTGGTTAAGAATCCGCCTGCCAATGCAGGGCACACGGGTTTGATCCTTGGTCTGGGAAGATCCCACATGCCGCGAAGAAACTAAGCCCGTGCACCACAACTACTGAGCCTGTGCTCTAGAGTTCACGTGCCACAACTACTGAGCCTGTGCGCCACAACTACTGAGCCTGTGCTCTAGAGTCCGTGAGCCACAACTACTGAAGCCTGCGCGCCTAGAGCCGGTGCTCCGCAACAAGTGAAGCCACTGCAATGAGAAGCCCGTGCACTGCAACAAAGAGTAGCCCCTGCTCGCCACAATTAGAGAAAACCTGCTCGCAGCAACGAAGACCCAGTGCGGCCAATAAATAAATAAATATTTTTTTAAAAAAATGCCAACCAAAATATTAAAAAAAAAAAAAAAAAAGAGGGCTTCCCTGGTGGCGCAGTGGTTGAGAGTCCACCTGCCGATGCAGGGGACACGGGTTCGTGCCCCGGTCCAGGAAGATCCCACATGCCGCGGAGCGGCTGGGCCCATGAGCCATGACCGCTGGGCCTGCGTGTCCGGAGCCTGTGCTTCGCAACAGCAGAGGCCACAGCAGTGAGAGGCCCGCATACTGCAAAAAAGAAAAAAAGAGAGAGAGAGAGAAAAAAAAAAGCTTTGCAAGATATTACTTTCAGGGAATTCCTACTGACCAATAAACTGGGAGATACAGGAAATGATAATTTCCTTTGACTGGGTCTACCTGTTCCCCTTCTTCGAGTAGAAATGGTAGTAGGGTGACAAATTTGTCCTAGTGGTCTGCACTTTTCTGGTTTTTGCACTGAAAATCCCATGTCCTGGGAACCGGTCTCAGTCCTGGACAAACCAGGAGGGTTAGTCGTTCTAAAAATAGGGAAATCACTTACAAAGCTTCCACCCCACCTGACAGAGCATGCATAATTTGACAGATCATTTTAAGAATAAAAAATAATAATTCAACATTATGAAAGTCTGTGTGAAACATGGCTTTGAAGAGGTAAATTAATCTAGAATAGAAAAAATTCAAATAACCTATCCTCACCTATGGATAACTTAAGTGTATACAAAAAGCTAAACAAGTGACAATGTAGTGTTCTTTTGAACGTGTCTAGAGATGATGCTGTCTCTTGGGAACATTATGGTAATCTGTATTTAAGTGATTACGTCAGAGGCTGGTTGGACCTCTGGGCCCTACTGTGTATGAAGCTATTTTAAAAACACAAGTTGCCACAGAACTAGTACTTGCCAGTTAGATGATGATGGAAATTGTTCCCAAACTGTGAGACATACTGTGAAATCTGGAAAGCTGGCAGAGAAGGTGCCAATTTGAGAGGGAAATTTGTTAGAAACACCCACTGTTGTGGATACCTGCTTGTCTTCGGACGCACTACAAACACTGGTGAACTCAGTTGCTGAGGCAGCCATGTAAAGATTACACCTCAGGGCTCCTCGGGGCCTGTGATACACCTGCAACGAAATGGACTCACCTGGAGACACAGGCAATTACCACTCAGCTTCATGTTTAGCTCAAGGGGTAGGGAATAAATACACACCAGAAAAATGTTATGCAGTTTTACAGAAAGCTAACCACCGTGTGGCCATTTCTCTAGCTCTAAAGATCTAGCCTTTCAAAGGAATCAATATGCCAAAAAAAAGGAGCCGCATCCTCTGTAAATATGCTGTTTATAAAAGCCTGAAGGAACTGGGGAGGGAGAGGGGGAGGAAAGGATAGCATGGGACTCCTGGGAAGAACACTTCGTAAGATTGTCTGTCTGGACCCTAGGTAGTTATCCTGAGATTTAAAGCAGGATCTTCCTGCCCTGACGCTGCAAGGCGGGTGGTGAATCAGAATCCCCTGGACATGTTTTTTGCATTCCACTTACCTCCCCAAGCCCCATCCCCAGAGGTTCCATCAGGCCCTCCTGAGGGAAAACCATCAAGACGTGTAAAGGAAACGAAAAGCTGAATAAGCTTGGATGTCAATGTGAGAATTGTAAGAGCAAAAGGACTCATCACTGGTGAACCTTCGATACAGGCCACAGCTGAGTGACGCTAGGAGGCAACGTCTGGAAAGCAAAATGCATGCAGTCCCTTCTTTTATAAATATTTTTTGACCTTCTATTGTGCGCCAGGAAGAGCACCGGGCATTGGAGACCTAAGATGGGTCAATGAGAAACAAATCCTATCCTCATGGAGATTACAGTCTGGTGTGGGAGGAAGACATAATCCAATGATCACCCACAAAACTGAAACATTAAAGCTGTGATGAATGCCAGGCAGGAGGGGCACATGGCTCTAAGAGAAGAATACTAGGAGCTTGACTCAGTGTAGAAGCATCAGGGATAGCGCCTCCAGAAAGGAGTCAGGTGAGCAGAGAAACAGAGGATAA